TAGTGCTGCTATGAAGAAAGTGAAATTTTAGAAAGACAGCATATACAGCAGCATCCAAAAAAATCAAATATATAGGAATAAATCTAAAGAAAGACCTCCATACAGTAAACTGTAAAACATTGAGACTCAGCAGTTATTTAAAAAAAACAATTATTGAGAAAAATCTTTAAAAGATCTAAATAAATGGAACATATAGTGTATTCATGAATTAAAACTCTGAATATTATAGAAATGTTAACTATCTCAAATTAATCTACAGATTTAATGTAATTCCAAACCAGAATCTCAGTAGGGCTTTTGAGGGGAGGGTAGTGTAGAACTTCAAGCTCTGATCCCAAAATGTGTATGGAAATTTCGAAGGGTCAAATAGCCAAGACACTGTTGAAGATGAAGAATGTTGTGGGAAGACTTGTTTCATTGGGCATTAAGACCTATTTTAAAACTATGTTAATTAAGATAGTGCTGTTTAGGTGTAGGAATGGACAGATACCTACTGCAACTAACCCTGAGGAAATGGGCAAGCGTCTTAAAAAGGAACCACAGATTGAAGATACTACTAACAATGCAAGCATAAGTAAACAAGAAAATGGAGTTTAGTCAGGTATTTTATCCATCCTTTCTTAATACTGAGATTCTAAGCATCTGGTTATTAGAGGCTATTCCTTACTGTTAAGACATCATTACTAGAATCTGTCATAACACTAGGTATATAAAAGGTGTTTATTAGTTATTTTGAATGAATTTATTGTGTGCTTCAGTTACTATTTTGACGCTCTTTTTGGTTTTAGATCTGCTGATTTGGGTCCTACTTTATTGACAAGACCTGGACAACCAACACTTACCAGAGTGCCACCACCTATTCTTCCAAGGCCATCACAGCAGACAGGAAGCAGCAACATGAACGCTTTCAGACCTGCCTACAGTTCATTTTCTTCTGGATATGGTGCCTATGGAAATTCGTTTTATGGAAGCTATAGCCCTTATAGTTATGGATATAATGGGTTGGGCTATAACCGCCTCCGTATAGATGATCTTCCACCTAGTAGATTTGTTCAGCAAGCTGAAGAAAGCAGCAGAGGTGCATTTCAGTCCATTGAAAGTATTGTGCATGCATTTGCCTCTGTTAGTATGATGATGGATGCTACCTTTTCAGCTGTCTATAACAGTTTCAGGGCTGTCTTGGATGTAGCAAACCATTTTTCCCGATTGAAAATACATTTCACAAAAGTTTTTTCAGCTTTTGCATTGGTTAGGACTATAAGATATCTTTACAGACGATTACAGTGGATGATAGGTATAAGAAGAGGCTCTGAGAATGAGGACCTGTGGGCAGAAAGTGAAGGAACTGTGGCTTGCCTTGGTGCTGAGGACAGAACAGCTAACTCAGCAAAATCTTGGCCAATATTCTTGTTTTTTGCTGTTATCCTTGGTGGTCCTTACCTCATCTGGAAACTGCTTTCTACTTACAGTGACGAAGTAACAGGTAAGAGTAATAGAATGGGTTCAGAAGCCATGTAACAATCTCAAATATCATGATTACTTAAATTAGCTTTCTTTGTAGTCATTTGTATTTACTATTTTGATCCAGTTATATTTTCAATTAAGAACTTTAAAACTGGAAGAGGAACATGTAGCAAAAACAGGCTTGTTGATTTTTTCTTTTTAGGTCATTTTAACAGTACACAGTACCTAACTATTTACAAGGTACTAAACTTAAAGCTGTGGAAGATACAAAGATACATAGGACATAATCCCTTCATCTTTCTAAAACTTATTAAAAGAAGTGGATGAGACACATACACAAGTAATGGTAATGAGGAAGAAAGTGTAAGGAGTATGACAGTTGGGGAGAAACATAAGGCTTATTGAGCCTTTTTTATATGCAAGACACTGTGCTAAGTATTTTGTTTAATTTGTCTCATTTAATTCTTACAACAATCGTAAGAGGAATTATCCTCATGCAAGTGATAAAATTAAAGTTCACATCTTTAATAAGGCAGAACCAGAAACAAAACCAGGCCTGTTTGACTGTTAAACCCCTATTGAATCGACTAGTACAGAGTATTATCTCAATTTAGAAGTGAAGCTGACATTTTTTGACTACTAGTATCCAAAAAGAAAGTGGCATCTAAGTTAGATTTTGGAAAGATAGGTAGTATTTCACCAGTTACGTAGGGAAAAAAGACTGTTAAGCAGATGGTCCAGCTTGAACATAGGAAGGAAGTATGAGATTTAATCAGCAGATGTCCTATACTATTGAATAGAAGGATATTGAGAAATAAGGCAGAGAAATTAAATTGAAACGTAATAATGGAAGGTCTTAATTTCCATGACAAAACTCAATTTTCATTTAGCAGGGAAAGGAAGATTTTTTGGTTGTCTGGTTTTGTTTCAGTTTTTTAAAGCAGGCTGTGACATATAAACAGTGCTCTAAAGAGATCAGTCTGTCTCAAGTGATTAAAATAGGTCAGTGCAGGTTAACACAGGTTGAAATTGGATGGTCAGGTTAATAAGGAATTTTGGGTTATATTTACCATTGTATTCCCCAAAGCTAACAACTTGATTGGCAAATGAAAGGTGCTTAATATTTATTAATTTGGGGACATCACTTAGGATGCTTTTGCATTTAAATGCAAGAGATAATGAAGATCTGAACTGAGGTGATTTAGTTACTAGCTAAATGCAGTACATAATGAGAAAGGAGGAATCAAAATGCCCTAGACCTTTAAAATTGAATCATTAGAGGGATACTGTTTTATTTGGGTTTTTTTAATTGTTGAAAAGTTTATTTATAAACTTTCATCTTACATCTGTTTAACTCACTTGTTCTTAACAATTATGTTTAGATTACTCATAAAAATTTCACAGGAAGTTACAAACAACTAGCCATCATTTTAAGTTATCTTTCTTGTTGACAGATTCTGTGACAGAGATAACATGAGCTTATTTGGCTATTAGTAAACCCAGTAGAACAAAAGTATTATATTTAATGTCAATACGCTAAAGAGATGCCTGTTTTAATTAAACCAACAAACTTAAATTAGCTTTTATTTACTGAGTATTATCCTAAATCACGTGAACTTGAAAAACATTTCAATTAGTTTTCGTACTTCTGAGAGTATACTTGATTTATATAAATGCTTGTTTGTCTTTAAGCTAGTTAAATAGAGCTCTTTACAAGTTGATTTTGGCAATACCATATGTAGCTGCAGATGGAGTACAACCCACATTAATGTCCAGCCATATTTTTGAGATCCTCAACCTGATGTTTGCACAGTCAAGTTCTCAGGACACAAAATGAAACAAAGAAAGCATTAGCTGTCCCTGGGAGAGAAAGGACTGATAACTAATGCTTTTTCCTGCCAATCTAAATTTGGAAAGGAAGGGCAATATGAAGTTTTACCTTCCTTTCTTGACCAGGCATCACAGGTAGAGACCTGGGAAAGCTGACTTTGGTAAGAATTCTTGCCTTTTGCTGGTTTCTGCCAGTTTTCCCAGGATCCTATCTGCAGGCTCTGGAGTGAGTGGGTTTGTCTCAGCAGGTCTCAGTATGGTCACCAGAAAGTGTAGAGGAGGAAAAATAATTTTCACTCTACTGTTTATGGTGAGTGCTTGACTGAGACCCTTTTTTCTCTAGGATACTTCATAAATATAAAAGCTTATCTAGGTCAAAGTTCTCATCTTGTAGTAACCTATAATGGAAAAGAATCTAAAGAGGAATCACTTTGAAACTAATACAACATTGTAAATCAACTATACTTCAAAAACAAAAAGTTGTCCACTGTGGCCGCTGTAATTCAGGATAATCTTTGGTAAGGTTAATCTACTTGTTCAACCTTAAAACAAAATTTTATTTACCTGTGGCCTCCAATTGGACCCACTCCAGCTTAAGTTGGACACAGTCTGAATAATGTTAACTTAGTAAATATTTGTTGAATGCCTACTACATTGCCAAACACAGTTCTAGGATCTAGGGATATAGCAGTGAAGAAAACAGATTTTTAAAAAATTCCCACCCTTGTGACTAGTGGGGAGAGACAGCAATAAACAGGTCATATATATAGTAAGTCAGAAGGTAGTAAGTGCCATAGTGGGTGGAAAAAACAGGGAAGAGTGTTGTAGAGTGCTAGTGGTAGGAAGTGGGGTTGCAGAGCTACACACAGTCAGGGAAGGCCTCCCCAAAGGAAATAAAGGGAGGAAGCTATTTGAGGGAAGTGTCTGAGACAGGAGAAGCAGCAAAACTGCAAAGGCATTTAAGTGGCAGTGTGCCTGACATGTCACGTGAACAGCAAGGAGGCCAGGGTGAATGGAGCAAAGTCAGAATACCAAGAGGTGAAGGAAGGACGAGTACAGTGTGTAGATGGTATAAGCCTTGTAGACATTTGTAAGAACTTTGGCCTTTATTCCGAAATGGGAAGCCACGACAGAGTTTTGAACAAAGGAATGATATGATCTGACCTAGGTTTTAAAAGAAAAATTTTTTGCTGAGAGTGGTTTTTACACAAAGCTAGGGTTGAAGAGACCAATGTGGAGAATCAAGGGGCCGTTGTAGTAATTCAAGTGGGAAGTGATGATTGGTTGGCTTTGGATGGCAATGATGCAGGTTCTAAGGTGGGGTCACATTCTGGATATGTATTTGAGGGTCAAAGTCAATAAAATAAATACAGACAAATCACCTGGAACAACTGATCTGTGAATGATTATCATCAGTTTGGTTAGAGCTAAAATGAATTTGGCATGTCAGTGGGACATTCAAGTGGAACTTGAGGAAGTTACAGAAAGCAGTTTAAAAGGCAGGAAAGGATCTTAGAAAAGAGATGAAAAATGAAAGATTTAAGAGTCATCCACGTAGAAGTGATAGTTGAAGTAATGTAAGTGGATGAGATTACAGTGATAGAAAAGAAGAGGAACTAAGAAACCAGGAAGAGCGAAAGTAGAACTATGTTAATCCTATGTTACAGAAGTGGAGGTGAGGGAGGACATTTCAAGAAGGGGAAGAAGAATGATGCATGGTGTCAGGTGCTATAATAAGATAAGATGAAGACCTGAAAAAGATGATCAGACTCGGCAATTGGAGGTCATTAGCTCCAGCAAGTAATTTTAGTAAAGTGGAGGAGACAGCAACTATGGAGGAGGATAAAGGGTATATAAAGTCAGAAGATGTGTTAAAAAGAAAATATTAGCAATCAATGATAGAAAGGAGAAAATGAATAGCCTACTTGGGTAAGAACAAGTTGATGTGGTTTTCAGTTTTTTGTTTTACTTTGTCTTTTATGAAGTGAGATCTGGGCATGTTTTTAGGCTGAAAGAAAGAAGTCTATAGAGAAGGAGTGATTGTAGAAGAGGGAGAAACAGAGGAGTCAAAAAGATGAAGAGACCTATAAGATGTAGGAGAAAATATGATCCAAGGCAGGTTAAAAAGGAGGGGCAATTTTTTATCTTGAGGCAAAAGGGGGAGAAGTGGATAATGATATTAAGAGATTTTTGAGGAAAAGCGAAACTGAGGAAGCTTAAGCCCTATGACTTCTTTGCTGCTTGGGACAGGACTCAGCAAAATATGGCATGTCAGCCAGGTCTGGCTTGCTCCTGTTTTTGTACATCCCACAAGCTCAAAATGGTTTTTACAATTTTCAATACATAGTTGGGAAAAAACCCAAAAAGAATGCTACTTGTGACATGTGAAAATTATATGTAATTAAAATATCTATGTCCATTAGTAAAGTTTTATTAGACCACAGCCATACTCATTCATGTAAAAGAGCAGAGTTGAGCAGTTTGCAACAGAGACCCTATCTGCGCTGGCACTCTTACTGCTTTACACTTGTTCCACTCACTGCAAATCTCACTAACATAACCTGACAGCTTATTGAGTGCCACGTGTATTGTCATATTCCAGTATATGTATTTTTACTATGACTGCATACATACCATGCAAGAAAAGAAGAGTAAAGTGGATTTTTGAATGTCACAGTTTCCAGGCACAGTATTGTCTGGATTATGTTGTTATTGAATTGGATGGTAAAACATTGAATTTATTATACAGTGACAACATAGCTATATTAAATGGATACAATATACATCAACATTACCAGACTGAGCACTCATCACAGTATTGCCAACTCACAGGAACAACAGTCAGAGAAATCAGAAAATTTAAAATGGAATATCTCATCATAGCATATGCAGTGTAGCATATTTCTTCACCCAAAAGGAAAAAAAAGGAGCAAAAGAAGAGAAAAAAAGCCTGCAACCAAAATAAATTTTACTGAGAGGCTCATTTGTCAGATTAGCAAGGAAATCTGTTTACCAACTGCCAAGGAAATACATCTAGGGAAAGTAAACTTGTTTAAGACCATTAACATTTTAGCAAGTTTCTTGAAGAGTATTTGAAACAACATTAGTAGTCAGTTAAAAACAAGGCAAATGATTTCAAACGGATTTACTTGGCTCATGATGACCCAATAGGCATTATTGATACTGCTCACTGGTTTATTGGAGGAGTCAGTGTTGAATTTGAAGTGCCTGAAGATTTAGCCTCTGTGAATAGTCTGCATGGAACAACTACAGATGAGAATATTTTCAAGAAGTTGAAAAAACACAAACTCACTAAACCAACATAATATGAAGTTAATTAAATCTGCAAAGATGTGTTGTGACTGACGGTTGTAAAAATGGTGGAACAGAAAAGAGCTTAGTTGGACAAAATTTTACTGATTTTAAAAAGTAAAAAGTTTTTAAAGCCTATGGTTATTCATTGTACTATTAATCAGCTAGTACACTGCAGAAAATATTTGAATTTATCATGTAGTGTCATAGGTGAACTTCAGTCACCCTTGTGGACATAAGTGTTTTCAGTTCTGTGAATTTTTGTCAGAAGTAGAAGCTGAAGATCCTGACTTGCCCTCCTGTACAGCTGTTAGATGGCTGAGCAGTCACTAGTTAAGTTTTATTACTGTTTTTCTGAGATCAAAGCCAAGACTGAAATTTTTCTGAAAAACAAGTACCGTCAGCCTCTCTTAGTAAACACTTAGTGGCTTTGGAAGTCAGCTTTTGCTGCAGACTTGGTGATGTTCTTAATGAATTCAACCGGAAACTATAAAACAAAATAACACTTATATGTAAAACTTACATTGGAGTATAAAGCTTTTTGACGACAGCTAATATTGTTCGAATCACAAGTAATGTCACACTGCTTTATACGTCCCCAGGCCGTCAGGACTTAAAACAAGAAGCAAGATTTCCATTCTCACGTAAATTTGCAGCAGATGTACTTTTCAAGCTCAAACTACAATGCAGAAAGGTTTTAGAATCTCCGTGCAAGTGCAAAGAAAATGCCCGTATTTCAAAATCCATTTAACTGCCATTGAGAGCTTCCGTTCAATCTTCATTTGGAAGTGATTAATTTCTAATGTAATGACATGTTAAAAGGTAAATATCAAAAGAATTTAACAATTCTACTCTGTTCATCTTCTTTGGATGAATATGCTCAATTAAAACCACATGTTTAATGGATTGGTATCAGGATTTGGCAGTACTTCTGTCAAAAAACATTTTCAAAATTAAATACCTCAAATTTCATTACAAATTAGCATTAACAGATGAATTTTTGCAATTGATATTGATGATAGAAACACTGCCTTTGAACCCCAATTAATAAGAAATATCCTACCTCAAAAAATTCCTTTCTGCAAAGACCTATGTTACAAAAAAAAGCTCAGTAGTTATTATTTTTTGAATTTTTCAAAAAATTTATGGAAAAAATTTCCTCTAATGTTATATAAGAAACTACACAAATGTTCAGTTTTGCCATTATGTCCTGCAAAGCCTTAAATATTTAATATCAAAAAAAAATTTTTACTTTACCAAAAAAATTGCTAACCCCTGTCTTTAAGGGACCTAGAATTTAGAGTTTAAAGAAAAGGAAAAAGTTCATAATAGATATCTTAATGAACATATTGTTAACTGTAGACTTTACTTCAAGAGGGGAGTCTCTTCTCTTGGCAAGTAAGTTTATACAGTTTGCAAACTAGCCAGTAAAATATCTTTTTTTTTTTTTTAGTTTGACTAACCTAATCTTAATTCTTAATTTGGTTTATAGAGAATACCAGCTGGGCAAGTGGTGAGGATGACCATGTAGTTGCTAGAGCAGAATATGATTTTGTTGCTGTATCTGAAGAAGAAATTTCTTTCCGCGCTGGTGATATGCTAAACTTAGCTCTAAAAGGTAACAAAACATGAATAAATTGGAATTACCTGTACATTTTTAGAATGTGTAAATGTAGTAGTAAAAACTGCATTAAAGGATCTTAGTCACCATAAAAGTTAACTCAGAAGTAGTCACTAGGATTTCTCTTTCATGTCAATGTAGACTTTCCAAATCTGGGGGAGTGGGAGAAAAATGTCCCAGCAGAGTTGTTCCAATAATATTTCACTGAGATAAGGAAAGATTTTGTTTATATAGTCTATTCTAAACTGAGAACACTTGAATTCCAAACTCAGTTAACCACTACCCAAAAACATGAGATAAGCACCACGTGTAATAAATCTAATAAACTTAAGTAATTGTCTAGCATCATCTGAGCATCCCTATCCATCTTTTATTGCTGGAACTGGTATTTGCTTTCTTTTTACTTGAATGATGTTTACTTTAGTATCCAACATGAATATTTAGGAATTACTGTCATGAAATATTAAAGAACCTCAACAAGAAATTTATACACATTCTCAGGTTAACTTTCAGACCAGGTCACTAGTAGTTTGTAATGACTCCAGACACAATGGCCTTTTCCTTCACATTTCCCCAGTAATGATGATCAGAATTTTTATTTTAAAAAGAGATTTTTTGTGTGTTTGTAGGGATTCAAATTTGCTATTAAAAGTCACATCTTGTTGGTCAAGATACTAGTAACAATAATAGCAGCTGTCATTTATAGAGTATTTGATATGTACCAGACACTGTACTTCACATACTTCTTTTAACCCTTGTAATAATGCTGTGAAATGAGTACGGTTATTATCCTGTCTCTGTTTTACACATGAGGAAACTGAGACTCAGAAATGAGTGAATTGTTCAGTATCATATAAGATGTGGTGGAGCTGGACTATGCACCTAGGTTTGTCTGACTTTAGAACTTGTACTTTTAACCACTTTGGCTCTTTGCCATGTGATATATTAATGAAAACTTTAACCTTTTACTGATGTTAGTCATTCTTCACATAAGGGAAGAAAATACCTTCAGTGTTCAGATCATTAGTTTAATGTGTAAATAATTGAAAATTACAGATCACCCCTCTCTCTCTCCCTCTTTGGAGACGGCCCACATTCATGGAAATGTGTACCTACTTTTAATCTGAGCACCCAACCCCCACACCTCGTGGCCTTTCTCTTGCCTTTCAATGTATCTCTCTGAATAAATCTACCTTTACTCAAAAGAAAAAAGAAAAGAAAATTTCAGATCAGACTTGCTAAATTTCTGCCTCGTCCCCTCACACACGAAACCTGGGCTTCCAAGAAAAAAATTTAATAAAATGTAAATTCAGAAGAATTCTAGGCTGCTGGATATTATATTCCATGTTTTTCTTTAGTGAAAATAGCAACTTACTATTTTGGATTTCAAAAGAATTTTTTTTAAGATTTGTTGTTAGAGGAACAACACATATAATCTGTAGTTTTCATTAATCTAAATAAAGAATAAAGAAGATTGTGATTTCTTTCAACTACATTATATTACAGAAAATTTCACATTTCAGATTATTCATCAAATTTTGCTTTTTAATATTTTGGCTTTGCATCTTTGCTTTCTACCATTGCTCAAGTAAAATACGTTTGAGCATTTAGAACAAAATCAGTCACAGACATGGTTAAATTTACCTTTTTTTTCCTTTTATTATATATTAAACATGAAAATGTCCTATTGGGCTTAAATTATAATGTTGAACTAAAACTTTTAACAGTTAAACAGCTTTTTTTTTTTAAGACATGGATAAAATAGGCGGGAGAATACCAAAATACAAAATTGAATATTTAAATAATCTTTCCTATTTTAAGCTTGGAGTATTGCCTTTGATTTTTTTTTTTTTTTTTGTCATGTGGCTATAGGTAATTGAGGTCTTCAGTTTTTCCCCATCTTGGATTAAAATTAACATTCACTGTTCTTCAGGATTGTACATCACAATCATGTAGAATGATTTTTACATTTTGGCCAAAAGTATGTAAGGAAAGCTGGCTTACATAAATGTATATGTTCACTTTCTATATTTACTCTTAACTTACCTTATTGAGATGTAATGAGATATTCATTCTTTAAATTTCAATTTAAAATATGAAAGACATTGATGCTTAATTTTCACTGATGATGAAATTTCATCACTGATGTTGGAAGAACTGAATCTTTATACTCAGTGAATGCACCAGCTGATGATAACTTTATGTTCTTTAGGGTTGAAAAAAATATTTAGTAAGTATGAAAATTAAAAGTATAAATTACAAGATAGGATCCTAGAATTAAGGATCTTGATTTTGAATATTCATGTATACTATTTATGTATTTTATTATGTAAATATAACAGATTTTACTTAATATTTTACTATCAATATTTTGTTGGACCCTCAAAGTATATTATAATTACAAGGCTGTCTTTTCTTCTATCAGAACAGCAACCCAGAGTGCGTGGTTGGCTTCTGGCTAGTCTCGATGGTCAAACAACAGGACTTATACCTGCTAATTATGTCAAAATTCTTGGTAAAAGAAGAGGTAGAAAAACAATGGAATCCAGTAAAATTTCCAAGCAGCAACAGTCTTTCACCAACAAGACACTAATTAAAGGAGCCACAGCTGCTGATTCTTTGGATGAACAGGAAGCTGCCTTTGAATCTGTTTTTATTGAATCTATTAAGGTTCCAGTTCCAACTGATTCCGCTGGGAAAAATGGAGATAAACAAGATCTTTAATATCTTTCATGCTTGCCTGCAGTTGAACTATTCTTTGGAGTACTTTTTTAGAATTACTTCTTACAAAGAAATTAATCTACAATCCAGTGAGAACATTTCTTAATGGCTATTTTGGAGGTTTTGCTGCTAGAAGTTTAATTAAAGTTGTACACAAGTATGTTGCTCTAGTGACCTGGTTACATTTTACAAGTTATTGGACCATAGAATGTTTGTTTCACCTAGATTTTAAGGTTATGGAGAGTTCTATTATTTTCATCTTATTTGAAACCCTATGTTTATTGGAAGAGTAACTGTTGATGAATTGTAAAATACACAGTTTACTATAGTGAGGATCATTGATGCATTTTAAAGTTCTAGATAAATTGACTTGGAATCCTCAGAAATTGAGTGACAACATATAAATATGAGAACAGGCAAAAAGGCTAATTTTTTTAAACAACTTTAATTAAACTGAATAATAAAAATTTTCTGATGTGTATTATGTCCAGTGTTGGGTTTGCTTTAGGCAGTAGTAATATGTTTTCACCCACTGACAATTGATACTATTATCTTTTAATTGTATTTTTAAAAATTTACCTTGAAAAGGTCACTAGAAGCATTGTGAAGGAAATGGTTCTAGGGCGATATTTAGCCTAATAGTTTTCCCTACTAATTAAAAGGCTGAAATTTATCTTACAGATTATGTCAATTTCTTCAGACGATCGTATAACTTTTTATCCCTTTACAGAATGACTAGTTTGCACCCCGGATGAATCAGAATATGTATATGAAAGATTTACTTAGTTTTCCTCCAGCCAAGACTCAAATCCTTTGAGCTTGCACTCAATCCTGGCAGTAGTGATTTTAAGTCTTTTCATAGATTCTCTGCTTCTAACTACCTAGTGTAATTTTTTAAAATTCCATATTCAGGCTGTACTTTAAACATTGAAAATGTGTCACATTAGGGTACAACATTTCTTTACAGTTTGGTTTTTACTACTTAGACTATAAATGCTGAATTGCCATTTAGAATATAATAATGCTATTTGACTTGCTTTTTGTTTAATCATGATTTAAAATGAAGTTAAATTTCTGTACACAGAATATTTCCCCACAAAATTAGAAAATTCATACACTTGCTGTGATCATACTACAAAATAATACTATCATGAAATAGATGTACAAGAACACATTTACAGATACATTGAAAACTTGGAATTATTTGATAAAGATTTTGATTTAGTATTTTTACCTTTCTTCTTAGACTTTATGTTCAACAAATAAGTACTTCTAGAACAGTTTAGACTAAAGCATACAGGAACCAAATAATCAACATAGAATTTTACTGAAGTCTTAGGAACCTCTCTTTTGAGACAATATAATAACATATTTAAAGTAACAAATGTTGACCCTGTGCAGAAAAAAAAGTAATAAAATTGTTAAATTTGTTTATTGTAGGTATATTTTTCTAACACCCAGTTCTTTGAGTCTTCAAGATTAGGTTACTTTTATATTATTTTCCATTTGTTTTCTACAGTTAGAAGTTTTTTGTTTTGTTAGAGCTTAATTTATGGAAATTTTGTTCTTGAAACACATTTTTGATAAAACAGATTTGGCGTTGAGACATCTAAAGTGAATGCTAGAAGTGAAGTAGAGGTGAAATGCTGAGTAGGTGCTATTTAGATTAGATAAGGTGGGTCTTTAGGATCCTATTTGTGCTATTAAAATGTATAAGGAAAACCATATAGCACAGAAAGACAACAATTTCACTTCTCTTAGGGTGTTTATTTTTTGATTAATAATTATAGTGTACATTATCTGATTGTTAACTATTTGTGTCTGAAAATTCCTTTTCTGTTAAAATTCTAGAAAAGGAATTTAGGACTACAATAAGCAGAGAAATTTTGTAACCTTTTTTATCATGACAGTTTTAGTATAATTTTTTTAGATGAGATTAAATATAATGTTTAAGGCGCCATTGTTATTTTTAGGAACTTATTTAAGGACTGCTACTTAACAGAAATTACTAACTGAAACTAAAACATTTTCAGTTAAATAATATAAATCACAAGTTGCAACAAGAAAACAGGTTTTATTTAAAATTATTTTCTGATTTTAGTTTATCAGTGTAGAAAGGAAAAGGTAAGAGAACTAAACTTTCATGTTTTAACATTTTATTTAGGTACTTGATTTAGTTTGTCGTGTCACAATTATACATTTACTTGAATACTGCTGTCCCTTGTGCTTTCTTCAGTGGAAAAACAAATATTAAATGCAGTTAAAATTTTTAATACGTTGTGAAGTTACTTTTACTGGGCAAATAAAAATATATTAAACCTGCTTGACATTTTTTGAAGACAAACTGTTAACTCTTTTTTTCAGGATTGCAATTAATATAAAAGTCTCTGTATTTTTTTACATACCATGTGTGTGTATTAACTACTGCAAACCAGTGCGTCTGTTCTATTTCCTTGTGATTTAAAGAAAATATTAGGTTTACATTTATATAAAAATTATCTAGAAGGTGAGTAAAATAAAAATAAGACCTCAGATCTAGGTTTGGGAAGACCTAGATTCTAGTCTGGACACCACTACGTACTGTAAGATTTAACTCACTTATTTTTCAGCTTCTTCATTGATAACATTGGAGATAGCTGCTACATCTGCCTCTGATGAGAGTGCTTTTTAAAAAATATAAAACACAATCAAAACTAAGAGATTATGGCAGTATATATATTCTAAATTTTTCCATGTGTATTTAAACTTCTTACACCCTGTTAAAATGTCACAGAGTATATCAGTCTAGAATTTCAGATTCATGCATATTAAAAATTAAAATCCATTCACTTATAACTTTGTCCAAAAACGTAATTTTAAATTATTTTGCTGCATACTAGAACAGCCTAGAGAAACACAGTGGAATATTTATTCAACACATGAAATTTTGTATTTTAAGCATTGTCTTGAAGTATCCTTTCATATTATATGTTTTTTATTTGGCCTGTCTTATGTGAGAGAATGAACTGTTTGTTTTAAAGACAGCTAACTCACAAATCCTGTAGGATACTTCCTATATTATGCCCTGTGAATAGTTTTTCACATTTAAAGAAATAACAAGTAATCTAAGTCTTAACTGTTTCTGTGTTCATATAAAATAAATTTTTTTTTAAGGATCTCAGGTGCTCAGAATTGAGTAGGTCATTGATTATATTCTTTATTAACGACATCAGTATCTTTGGTCTAGAAAGGCTACATTTTTGTCCTGCTTCATTGTACCTTAATAGTTTTTCTTCATCACCTACCTGCAATTCCATCGTCCCCACTCTCTCATATTTAATGTTTATCCTTCCAAGCCATCTTCCAAGTTTTTAATATATTTCTTTGAAAAACTATGTAATAACATCTATTTTGTATAACTTCTCAATTTCACATAAATGATATTATGGTGTAAATATCATTTTGCTTCTAGCCTTCATAAAATATTAGGTTTTTAAGACCTATTCATGTTACTGTATATAACATGCTTTTGACTGACTTATATTATTCTATTGCATTCACATACCATAGCTCATCTTCCTCTAGTCATAGATATTTAGGTTATTTCCAGACCTTCCCACTTCTACGTGTCTTCCTGTGACCCTGCCCTGAAGTTTCTTTGGTATATATGTCCTAGTGTAGAATGGCTGGAGTTTTGAGTATATGCATATTTAATTTTAGTAAGTAATGCTGGATTGTTCTCAGGAGTGGTTGTACCAGTTTACACTTGCACCAGCAAAACATGAGGATTTCATTTTCTGTTTTCAGCAGCACATATTCTCTTATTTTATTAATCTGATATGTGTGAAATTGTATTTTGTCTTAATTGCATTATCTGATTACTAATAAGCTAAGCATATGCTTTTTAGTCATTCTGGTTTCCATTCTGTGGATTGCCTATACTTATAGTTTGCCCATTTTTTTCTATTAGGTTTTTCTCTTTCTTGCTGATTATTGTACAAGAAGTTCTTTGTATATTCTAGATAATGTTTCCTTTTTAGGCTCAGATGTTGGAAATAACTTGGACTTGATATTTATTACTTCTTGTCTTTGGTGTCTTCCATGGAATAGAAATTTTAATTTTGCCCCCAATTGTTTGTATTTTTTAGGTCTTGTTCTATCCATGCTATAGTTTTACCAGTTACATTTATTTTAATTAGAATTTATTTTTGGATAGAGTATGAGGTATGAATCCAACTTTTTCTCCAGCTAATCATTGAGGGGAAAGGGTTATTGACAACACCACTTCTCTCAAGAGGAAAATGTTCTTGGATTTACTTTCTCCTTAGCACTATTTCCTTGGAAATCTACTGGGTTAAGATAAATATGGAATGCCAGCTGTTTATCCAGCAACATTTTTTTTATTGTAGAAAACACAGGCTTTGAGATTTCTCTGAGTAAGGTACAACTGGTAACCAAGCTTGTTTCTCCTTGCAGAGACCTGGAACCCACCTTCAAGGGATTTTTACAACATAGTGGTTCCTATGGCATATAAGGCTTACCTAAGGAGGATGCTCTCTATAGGCTATGTTTACTGTGCTGTACCCTTTAGCCAAGCTAAGTGACCTTGGTGCCAAGTTATATCCTTTTGAGTCATGTGAGTGTGAATGTTTGCTGGGTAAGCAGAGAAGGACTATGGTAATTACTTCTGGTACCATCTACTAAATCCATATTTTCCCCATTTCATTACATACCAAGTTCCCATAAACATGAAACTGGTACTCTCTGTTCTATTTATTGATATATGTCAATTCCTTTCCCAGTACAGCACTGTCTCAATATAACTTTATAGTAAGTTTTAATATCTGATAAGTGAATCTGTTTGTCCTCCTTTGTTAAAATTACCTTAGCTGTTTGTAGATTTTTATTCTTGTGTTTACATTTTAGTATCAGTTTATCAAGTTCCCAAAAATAAGCTGCTGAGATTTTTATTGGAATTGCATTGAATTTGCGGATTAATTTAGAACTGACATTGTTACAAGGTCGGATCATCACATTTGTGAACATCATTTCTCTCCATTTATTCAGGACATCATGTATTTATTGGGTTTTGTTTGTTTGTTGACTAATTCCTATATACTTCATACTTTTTGTAGCCGTTGAAAATGATATTATTTCTGGTACAGAGAAGTATGTCGGACTTGGTATGTTGATCTTGTATTTGTAACTTTGATGAATGCTTATTCTAAAATAATTGATTCTCTTTGGTTGTCTAAGTAAATGCAAATGCAACTAATGAGTTTTAGTTCTTCCTTTTTAGTCCCTATACCTTTCTTTCCTTTTTATTGTTTTGGCCAGGTTGCCAGTCTGTATTTAACGGTAGCTGTGGTAGCAGGCATTTTTATCTTATTTCTACTTCAGAGTCTAAAGTTGCTCTATTCAATATGATGTTTGCTGTAAGTTTTATGCTAGTTAGTTTTTATCAAAAGAATGTCCCTTTTATCGATAATTTAAATCTGCATTTGCTTTATGGTCTTTTGATTTTTTACTTTTAATAATAGTAATATAGTGAATAACATTGATTTTCTGGTATTGAACCATTCTTGCATTCCTAATTGATTTTCTTTGTAGTGAAATAATTTGTTTCATTAAAAACACATATAAGGGGGGAGGATATAGCGCAAGTGGTATAGTGCATGCGTAGCATACACGAGGTCATGGGTTTAACCTCCAGTACCTCTAGAATAAGCAAACCTGATTACCTCCCCCCAAAAAATAAAAAATAAATAAATAAATAAATTCTAAATATAAGTAAATAAATGAAAACACATATGAGTAAGTGTAGGAAATGATTAAGATAAAAGTGAGATATGCAGTAAACCTAACAGTATACAGAAGGCAGAATTGCCACTATTTGATAAGGTTTCCTGGGAGAAGATAAGCTGAAAAGAGACACTGGGTCATAGTCTGGCTTCAGTTTCTCTGAAAATTTACAAGAGCCTTTTATGGAGAAAGTCATTGGGCAAGGCCCTAAGCAAATATTGGGAAACCTAGCTTTATCTGCAGTTTATGTATTTTGACAGATGTGGCAGCTACTAGAACTTGATATCTGCCTATAATACAGTCAGAGGGAGTGGCTATGGCTATCCTTCAGCAGTCAGGAGTGGAACAAAGCAGAACACTTATGTGTTCTCAAAAGATCCAAGGAGCAGAAGGAACGAGCAAGGACTTCATTAACATGTGGTCTGGCGAGCCAAGTACAGCTAACCTAGGCCAGGCTTATCTCAGCGTTGTCAGATTAAAAATATAGTATAACATAAAGCATCGTGTTGAAGACTCTCAAGTCATTCTGCACAAATCTGAACTGGCTGCTCTCTGCCTGGTGCACAGTTATCCTGGGTTCTGTCTCTTTTTTGCTGAGAAGTCTTATGATCTATCTTTCTTGTTTCCATACCCGACAGTTACCTCTATCTTGGTTTGCTCTCTTGGAGAGGTAAAGCACATCTAGCACATCTCTTTCCTGAGAAAGGCTGCAGGGAAGTAAAGTGTGAGTCCTTTTGAATGTCCAAAAATGTCTTTTAATTTTATTCTCAATTTGAATAACAGTCTTGACATAAAATTCCAAGTTGGCCATTATTTTTCTTTAAAATTTTGAAGTGATTTCTCTGTTGTCTCTAGGTTCCTTGTGACTGCTGAGAAGGCTGAAGCTATTTCTGATTCTTGACCCTTTGTATGGGTCCTATTTGTTTTCCTCTCTGGAAGCTTGTAGGTTGAATTTGAGAATATTAATGACTAAATTATTTTGTTTTGAAGTTTCCATTTTCCTGCAGTCTTTTTTCCCCCCTTGGGTTACTTTCTGTGTGTGTGTGTTTATGTTTATGTTTTACCTCTGTCTATCATGATATTTTCCTTGGGTTTCTGCTGAACTTTGGTTGCCTGCTTATGTTTAAGAATAAGAGGACTGGAAGGGGAGGGTATAGCTCAGTGGTAGAATGTGTGCTTAGCATGCACTGGGTCCTGGGTGCAATCCCCATTACCTCTATTAAAATAAATAAATCTAATTACCTCCGCCCCCACCAAAAAGCTTTTTTTTAATTTGTTTTAAGAATAAGAGGCTGAATAGCTGATTGAATGCTTTGAGCAGACAGGCAGGGCTCATTGACAGTGAACTTTGTGTTAAAGCTAGTTTGGAGGGTATGACATAGGATTTACTAATATTTACTTAAATTAAATTTTCTATCCAGTCTTAGGCAGACCAGAAAGCACTTTAAATAACTGTAGGTAAGTAGCTCCAATGAGAGAGTAGAGAGGAGGTGGAAAACTCCGTTGTGTCATTTCTCCTTCCAGATTCATCAATTGGATAG